GTGAGCTCAGCACCAGTACCCAGGGCAGTCTTTCAACCAGCTACAAATCCATCTAACTGCTCTATCAGCCGGATCATATTTATTTCTCTTGAACCCAAGAAAATCTTTAGACTCCAAGTCCTTACTGAACATTCCTCAACACAAATTAGAGCATTTTCCCAAGACTTGGTAGTGACCATGATGGCTACTAGTTATCTCAACTTGGTTTCTGGAGTCCCCGCAGATTTTGTTCAGATATCCGACCTGGAATTTGGCAAGCGATCACTAAGAAGCTCACCAGCCTGCCATTGCCAGGATCCCTGCCTTGCCACACTGAAGAAACACCTCAGGGCAGCATCTGTGATTCTGCCACCTTCCCTCTCTCCTCCCAGACCCTAGAAGGATTCTGTGGTCACTCTTCAAGCTTCTCTCAGAGCCCCGAAACCTGATCTGTAAGAACTGGCAAGCTAACTCACGAAAAGCACCTCAGTGTGGTCTGACTCTCACTGCTCCCGGTGGCCTCCGAGTCTGCTCCACACTCACAAAGATGAAGGCAAGACAAGAGTGCTCTGCCCCCCAGAACATCCCACTACTTGCTTCAAGCAGGACTCAACCCCTGCCTGTCCTGGTCATCTTGCTCTCTGACTGTGGCTACAAAACTCACTTTACATTGTCCAGCTGACACTGGCCTGCTGCCTCCCCACCCAGAGCTCCGCCCACCACCATAGTGCCTCCCTGGTCAACTACTACTCAAGGCTCAACGCCCACACGGAGGTCAGCCAGGAAGAAACAAAACTGGCCTTTTATCTTGGCCAGGACGGTTCGCGCAGACATCGCAGGGGCTTGAAGGGAAGGGGAAGACATGGTTCTGGCAGGGGTGAGCTGGGCATGAGCCCAGGCTGGCAGACACCACACCTTTGCTAGTAAGACACAAAGCAGACTGCTCAGCCAAATAATGGGCTCTAAGCAGCTCAGGTTTCACTCTGAGTCAACAGCCCCCTTCAGAGGAGGCCCACCCTATGTGTCATCAGCCCCTCCCCAGTGCCCTTTGCACTGCCCCCAACACCCTGCCTTTCCTTTAGGCCGGATATGCAATCCCATCCCCCAGGAGGGTCACCCTGCCTTAGTGCAGCTCCCATTTCCTGCCCCGGGTGACTCCTCTGAAGTCTATTGTTCCCATGAAGTTTGGGTCAAAGGAAGCTGAGTCCCCACCCATGAGGGCCCGCCTACCCTCAGCACCGCCAGGGAGCCGGCCCACACTGCAGGGAGCTGGGCCCATCCTCAGGCCTTTCCAGGAGCCTGCCGGTATTAGGTATTAAAGGCAGGAGGACGTGGGCAGGGATCTCGGGGACTGGAGTTCTAGCGGAAATGCTCCCAAACATTCAATCGCTACCAGCTGAAGCCTGGAGGACCACATCACACAGGAGGTGATCAGAATCCCCCTAATATCTAAATGGAAAAACCAAAGCAAGGGAAGAATTGTCATCTCAGAAGAGGTCAAGGCAAGGCTGTATAATTAGAATATAGGAGCCGGAGACTGCGCTGCCCGGCGACAAAGCCCTGCCCCCACCTCCACCTGGGCCCCTGAGCTGGTTAAACCCCCGGGGGCAGTGGAGGGGGGAGGCCTGGAGAGCAGCTGTTCAGCTCCAATTTCAGAGCTTTAAAGGGAGCTGCCGTCCCAACCCCTGCCAGCAAAGGGTCATGGGGGGCAAAGGAAGAGAGGTGAGGTAAAGGGACCCTCACAGCCCTAAATTTCCCACTGCCCCAGGCCTGACCCCAGCTACAGGAGAGCAACTAGGGAGGAGAGGAGCTTCAGGTTAGGCACCAGGTACTGCTCGGTGACAATCACCAGCACAAGACTACAGAATGGAAGCAAAGGAGGGGACATTTGTGTCCCAGGAATCTAGAAAGATAGGGAGACCCTTCTCTCCCTGGCTGAGTAACACTATGACCAGCGAGGAGAAAGGAGGGTGCACTTAAAGACCTCTTGAGGGCCCCTTCCAGAGATGGCATTCTCAGATTCTACCGTCTGTGCTTTGCGCTGGGAGGGAAGGGAGTATTTCTGCCTCCTAACAACCTTATCTGAGCCACGAGACGGGAGACACTGCCCAAGCTGAACTTTTCCAGCCACCAGGCCTGTTAGATGAAGGTGGGTAGGGGGTCTGGGCATTGGGAACCACAGAGCAGGAGACAGGGTGCAAAGTGAAAACAGAGTGGACTGTCATCCCAGCTCTGTGACTCACTGGTTCTGCAACCTTAAGCAAGTGACTGCCCCTCCAAGGGCCTCAGTTTCCCCTTCTTTAAAATGAAGGAGTTAGATGCTGACATTAGCATGTCTGATAATGTTCAGCAAGTTCACTCTGGGGTCAAAGAAAAACCGGAATTAGAACATATGAGTTGGAGACCATGTGCTCCTGGGTGACAAAGCCCTGCCCGCACCTCCACCTGGGCCACTAGCCACCCTGGTTCCTAAGGATCAAGAACATGGTGCAAGGCCTGGCCCACAGTAAATGCTCAATTCATGTTTGCTACATAAACATGAACGAACAGACCAGGGTTTATCAAAGGGTGTGCAGAGAAGTCTCTAGAGAAAAAGAAGCTCCGTGCTGAAAGCAGCTTAGGAAACACTGGCTACTGGGTCTCCAGGATGGGCTGTGCACTGTGCAAACATCGAATTTTCACCAGAAACTTTTTATATGGATATTAATTAACCCCTCTTCCATATTACTCGTCAGGAAACTGAACCTGAGAGCCTTAAAAGCAGCGAGAAACTGTCAGGATTTGTACCCACATATGTCTGACCCCAAACCTGTACCTCTTCTACTCTATCAATGCTGTCTTTAGACCAAATTCCCTCAAAGCCCCAGCTGCACACCAGACCTAAGCAAGTGAGGGGGTGAGGTGGCTCCCACCAGAACATCTGCATCCTCAGGGTGCATGGAGGAGCAGGGGCAAGTCTCCAGCCCTCTGAGAGTGACTTGTTCCTCCCTTCCAAGAAGTCCTAAACATTACGCCTATGTCATCATGTTGTCGGAAGGAAGAAAGAACTCTGAAGCCCAGTCTACCTGTGTCCTCCCACCGCCACCCCCATATACCATGTCACTTCTGACAGTCTCACAGACAGCGTGGCTCCCTCCCTACCCAGTCCACTCTTATATAATGTTCCAAATGTAGAACCCCAAATAGAAAGAAAACAGAAAGCAAAGCAGAAAAAAAGATGGGGAAACTGAGACACCCAGAAGGGTCTCCCCACAGGTCAACTAGCAAGTCAGAGGCAGCCCCTCTCTCCCAGGCTGGCACTACAGCATCCACGCAATGAGCGCCTCATGCCCCTTCCCACCGGAAAGTGTCAAGCGCTCTAGCAAGTTGTAAAGGATTCTTCCATTTGATTGGCTGGCAGTATGAAGGACAGCTGGACCAGTAGAAATGAGTTCAGGCTGGTATAGAACGATTCCTCTTTGTCCTCGAGGCCAACTTTAAAAGCACTGTCTACACAAGTCTCAAGATTCAAAATGGTCTTGTCTTTCTAGGGGGTCCACCCCCACAAAGATTCCCAACTCTCACTATCAACAACCTGTCTCACTACCAAAGGGCAAAGCTCTCAACTTTATTTAGCTTCTACCAGCTGGTTCTCTACACCGCTCCAGGCAAGGCCAGAACCCACTCTCCCCCAGGAAGACAGCTGCCGGAAGAGGCAGGTGTAGGCAGCTTCCTTCCAGCTCTGCCCAGTCCAAGGCTAATGGAGCCTTAGGGCCACACTCTCCAACCCGCGGTCACAATGCCTTTGCACACACACAACCAGAGGCAGGGTCTCTTGCCCACGGTATGCAGAAAGGAAAAGCAGTCACGTCCAGAAGCGACATCCTCCCAGAGAAACACACACTTAGAGACCATGGCACAGGCACTCAGAGGCTTTCAGACAGCTCTCTTCTCCCGTGGAAACACACTCACGTTCAACACAAACACACGCCTACTGGGAGCCGAGGTGAGTCATTTGCGGACAGATGTCACCCTCACATACACCCAGAGCTAAGGAGACGGGACCGTCAGACGGCCACGTGAACTCTTCAGATAACACTTGGTCTGACCGGATACCCTTTACACACATGTGCACCGTGGCTGTGTTCCCGGGAAAGGTGCACTTTGGGGTTTGGGAGTTCTGCTCGCTATATCCCCTCGTCCCCATCATGAAACACAACTCGCTTCTCAACCCCTGGGGAGCAGGAACCTTACGGTAGGGGTCCCCTCCACTTTCACAAAGCCTTAGCACTTAAAACAGCCCACACACCTACCTCCAGGGCTGTCTCTTCCAAGGCAGAAAAGAGCCCAGCAGAAAAGGCACGAGCGCTGGATCTCTCCGAGCGATCGCCGGGGTTCTCGGTTCCGCTCTGTCCTTTCAGCTCCCCAGGCTCCCTTTCCCCCCAAGCCCCTCGGATCCCGCCCCCCGCCCTGCGGTCCGCAGCGCCTCCACGTGCCCCGCTCTCTCCCCGGTTCGGCCCCGGTGAGAGCTCCTCGCGCTGCACCCCAGATGCCTGCCCCCGGCGAGGCCCGCCGCGCTCCCGCGCCCCCCGCGCCGCCGCCTTACCGGTCCCAGGGTGCGGGGAGGCGCGGTGGGTGCGCTGCGCCGGTTCCGCGGAGTCCGCCCCGCGCGCCAACTCTTCAGCCGCGGCTCCGCTCAGGGCCGGAGGCCGGCGACGGCACTGCAGGGACGACAGGGGGTCAGCGAGCAGCGCCCCGGGCTCCGGGCCGAGCAGCTGGGCGGGGAGGCAGGCGGGGCCGCGGGACGGAGCCGAGCCCGTGCCGGGCCGACCCCGGAGAACGCAGTTCGCCGCCGCAGGGTGCGCGGAGCGCGGACGGCGCGGAGGGAGGAGTTTTCCCAGAATGGGACTGACGGGAAGCCACGGGAGAGCCCTATTCCTGGAGGCGTGAGTCAACGGGAGAGGAAGGGAGCCCGGGACCGCACCGGGCGCGGGAGAGGGCGGAAGGGAGGGGAGCGGCGAGGGGAAGCGAGGGAGGAGGCCGCAGCGCGCGGAGCGGTGCCGGCGGGACAGCGAGGGCGGGCGGGCGCCACTCACCTGCGGGGACGCGCGCGGGCGGCGGAGCGGGGCGCTGCGGTGCTCCCGCCCCCGGCCTGGAGTTTGAAAGGAGGGCGCCTGGAATGCGCGGAATGACGGCTGGTATGAGATGCGCGCAGCTGAGGGAGGGCGCGGGAGGGAGTGGCGGCCGGGCCACCGGCCCCTCGGGGAGGAGACGGGGCCGCGGGCGGCTGGGCGGGGCGGGGCGGGGCGGGGGGGGGCGGGGCCGGGGCGGCCGGGGGCGCCGACCCCTCAACTCTGACCGCGGGGCTGGCGGGGCCTCGCCGCTCCTCGCGCGCGGACTTTCCCTTTGATCCTCGCCCCGACTCTTCTGCCCTCCCCACCCCGCTTCCTTCCTCTCTCCCGGGAGCAGAAAACCTTCCTCTTAGCCGGGGCGGGGGCGTCCCGTGGGCCGACCCTGCGGCCCCCGCTGCCAGCCGCCGTCCGTCCTCGCAGGTCCGAGGAAGACCGGGGAGGGGCGGCGCCGGCGCGCGGGAAGGCCGCTCCTGCCCCGGCTCCCGCCGCGGGCTTCGGTCCCGGGAACCAGGAAGCGGGAACTCCGCGCTCGTTCCCGCTCCGCCGCCCGTGCCCCGCGCGCGCCCTCCCGCAGTGGTCCTTTCAGTCGCTCCCTCTGTCCCTTGCGGATCTGCGGAGCTGTGACTGCACGAGTAAAGCAGATGGGGAAAGGAAAGGATGCCCGATGTGAAGTCCGTGTGGCGCGGCGTGAGACACCTTTTGGGCTCAGTAACTCAGTGAATATTTATCCAACATGTATTATGTGTCTACAGATGCTGTGAAAACAAAAACGACCTCAGCACCTGCCCTCAAAGAGCCTGCCGTCGCTGGGAAGACTCGATGTATAGAAGAGCATTGCCACACAGTGCGAGTCTGGGTTTTCAACAGACATGCCAGGTGAGTTCAGTCTCTTGTTGGGGGAGAGGGAAACGCAATGGGCTGGTTTGGAAGTCTCCAGAACACGTTTGCTTAAGGCAGGGTGTTAACCACACTCCTCTGTCAAGCACCTTGGGAGGTTGAAGCCAAAGGACTTCTGGCTTTTTCCAAAAACCAAATCCAACCTCTGGAGCATTCCCGCTTACCTTTGTGTCGCAGTGCTTGTCCAGATCTTATCTCCCTTACCAAACAGAAACTTCCTTGAAGACAGAGTAAATGTCTGATTTATCTTATCTGTCACCCAGCACCAGCTGGGTGCCCAGGATAGATAAGTACGTAATAGATGTTAAATAAATGAAAAAGATTGCTCCCACAGAGAATATTGAAAAGAAAGTGCTGTAAATGCCAAAGTTATTTCCCAGAGAGGTGTTGCAAAGGTGTTGAGCAATGAGTGCATTGCTGGACGAAGTATCCAGTCTCAGAAGGTAAGACTTTGAAGGCAGCAGCTCTCATTTGGATATATAATTTCTGGTATGCTTGTTAAATAGTGACTCGCATCAAGGCTTGGTCACACCTCATACACGTGAAAAGTCTACACTATAGGACAGTCTGTAGGCACCGAATGAAGTGCAAACTGTCAGCACCAGCTATTGAAGGTAACAATCATTTGTTGAGTGTCTGTTGACTTTGACCACCTTGCTAAGTGCCAGAATAGGTCCTTGCCCTCAAGAAGTTCACAGCCTATGTGGGAAGACACACAATGACACAAAGTTCAGTGGGAATCCAAGGGAAGGAACAATGGAATCCAAGTTACAGAGGTGACATTTGATCTAGCTCTTGAAGGATAAATGAGAGTTTGCCAAATGGAGACTGGAAGACCCATGAAGATAAGGGAGCCTGTACACAAGGGTGTTTAGGAAAAGTCTTGAAAACTGATGTGGCTAGGGAAGAGGAGATGAGGAGAACAGATTACAGTAAGTGGGTGCCAGGGTATGAAGATCATCATATCCTGTCCTGAAGAGTTTGGGCATCGGAAAGGCCCTTTTGATGCAGGTGTGAAATAACCAGTATCGCCATCAGCAAGACCCCTCTGGCAATAGCACTGGGACTAGATTGGAGAGTCAGGATGCCCTAGACTCAGGCAGTGGTCCTGAGGTGGAGGATAAAGGAAAGGATGTAGGCAGTAGGCCAGAGGCAAAATGAAGAAGAATTGGTGACTAGGTTGGCTGTGAGAGTGAGAAGAAACAAAAATCAGTAAACTTTGACAACCCAACAATTGGTGGTACTGTTAACTGAGATAAGAATTCAAACGAAAAGAGGAATGGGTTGAGTTGGAAGGTGAGTCCAGACAGGTTCAGAGGATTGAGAGAAAGGCAGGACAGAGTCCAGAGTCTAGAGGCAGCCTTGGGGTGTCACATTCAGCACAGACGCTGACAGGAAATTTGGAGATCACACTGGCTTATTCCCTCCAGGTCTTAACTACCCAGAAGATAAATGATCCAGGCTGGAATGGTGTGCCATCAGGACTTCAGCCTCCTGGTCCACACCCTTACAGGCTTCTGGAGAGCTCTGTGCCTTCAGGAATCCCACGTTCCCAAGTTGTTGAGGTCCTTCTGGGTAAAGGAAAATTCTTAGACATAGAGATTCTGAAGGGTTAAAGACTGACAGTGATCTCACACACATGCCCTGCCCTTTCCAGGGGTGTTTACATTTCTTAAGGGCGAGGACTCTCATTGATTGGCCCTCAGGAATGTATCTGTTGGTGGAAGTATTTCGTCTGTCTAGATCGAGCTGTAAGAGATGCATATGGCTCCACTCAAATTACACCATAGGATCCACAACTCATCTGACTTCCCAGTGGTCCAGACCACTCTGCCTCGTCCTGCTAATGGACCCTCACCCAAGCTTGATGATGACTGGTACAGAGAGGAGGGCAGGGGTGGTCAGAGCCGGTTTTAATCTGGGGAGGGTATTTGTGTTGTCTGTACTCCAAAATCACACTAAAAAATCATATTAATTATTTTTATTATATGTTGTTTGGTATTATTTTGACTCCTTTAATAAATTTTGTTTTTCCAACCCACATGGTCATAGTTAAACAAATTATCTGTATAATACTGTATTAAACAAATTCAACCACATCTTGTGCTAGAATCCTTTACAGCTATTAATAACAAGATGTTTCTTAATAAACCAGACAAATGTTAATGATATAATAAGTGGAAAAGCAGATTCTAGAAACAGTATATATAGTATGATCCTGTTTTTGAAAAATATTTTGGAATGATTATCTCTGACAGGTGGAAGATTAAGGGGATTTCTTTATTTTTCATTTTTATTCTTATTTTTCTGTAAGAAACTTGTGTTTCTTTTATAATCAGAGGAGAAGCATGTGACTAGAACCTTTCACTAATTTCTCCACATTTTTTTTAAAAAAACATGCACAACTGGATTTAATGGCCCAATAAGAAGTTGACAAGGGCAGAGTCAAGGAAAGATTGTTTCCTAGCCTTTAGGGAAAAGGCAAATACAGTCACGCGTCGCTTACGGGATATGTTCTGAGAAATGCATTTTTAGGCAATTGCATTGTTAGGCAATTTTGTACTTGTGTAAACATCATAGACTGTACTTATACAAACCTAGATGGTACAGCTGATCTTATGGGACCACCGTCATATGTCCGGTCTGTCATTGACCAAAGCATTGCTATACGACGCATACCTGTATACTGCTTTCAAGACGTCCCTGAAGCACGTACCTGCCCCATCTTCGACAGTATTACATAGCTGATTCCTACTGTGGTTGTGGTCAACTGTGACTCAGGTTTCTTCTCTTTTTTAACCTCCCCATACTATATTTCCATTTGCTTTTCCTGAAGAACACTCTTTGCTCCATACCAACTGAACTGCATCTTGTGTTTTAAAGGACAAAATAGACCTTTATCAAACTTGTTTGGAGTCTTTTTTGCTCTATAGAGTAAAAAGCAGTCTGTAGTTCAGCGTAACATTAGTTCTGTTATCTGTCATCAAAGAGAAACATGAAAGAGAACTGACCCCGGGACTACCTAGGGAACAGTGTATGCTATGGGCTGAATGGCATGTTCCCCCAGTTCATAGGTTGCAGTCCTCATCCGCAGGACCTCAGAATGTGACTGGATTTGGAGATAACGTCTTTAAAGAGGGGATTCAGTTGGAAGAGGTCTTTAGGGTGGGCCCTAAGCCACTCTGACTGGTGTCCCTATAAGAGGAGGAGATTAGGACACAGATAACTCACAGAGGAAGGGCCATGGGAGGACCCAGTGAGAAGGCGGCCACCTACAAGCCAAGGAGAAAGGCCTCAGAGGAACCCAACCCTGCCAACACCTTGATCATGGACTTCCAGCCTCCAGAACTGCAAGAAATAAATTTCTGTTTGAGCCACCCAGTCTGTGTATTTTGTTATGGCAGCCCCAGCAGAGTAAAATAAAACCACTGGTTTCTGGAGCCCGTCTCCACACAATACTCAAGGGAGTTTCTCTGAGGTTCCAGGGGATCTTTAGGATCAGAGATCCAGGATCTTCCTGGAAAAAAAATCAAAAGGGAGGAAAGGCTTCCTCCGGCCTTATTCAGTTAAAATTTTCATTTTTAGTAACTCTGCCACAGTATTTTGAAATGAAAGTTAAAATAAGTCAGGTATTATGACCTCACTGGGGAGTTAAACAATCTGGGTTCAAATAACAGCTTCGCCACATACTAATTGTGACCTTGGGCACACTGTTATTATAAGCCTCCGTTTCCTCATCACTCGTGTGTTCATTACACAGTTATGGAACACGTATGACATCCTTGGTACAGTGCGAGGTGGCACCGAGGATAAACAGAAGAGGCACAATCCCAGCCCCTGAAGATACTAACGGTCTAATGGGTGAGCTAGACAAGGAACAACTTCTCCATAGGAGAAGCGTTGGTATGAAGCTGGACAGTTAAATCTGGAAACCTGAAGTTGAGATTTCTGTGGACCAATGCTCTCCAACAGAATTTTCTGCAATGACGAAAGGTTCTTTATCTCCACCGTCTGATATGGTAGTCACTAGCCACATGTGGCGATTGAGAACTTGAAATGCAGCTAGTCTGACTAAAGAACTGAATTTTATTTTGATTAAATTTAAATAGCTACTTGTGACTGGTGGCTAGGGTGTTGGACAGCACAGCTGTGGACCATCCAAAAAGAGATGTCCAGCAGGCAGTTAGAGAACACTTGCAGAGCTAAGGGAAGAATTCAGGACTGTGGGAGACATCAAGAGTAAAGGTGTAACGTGGGAGTTACTATGAAAAGTGAAAAATCAGGATTAACATACGTAACACGGGTCCCTGGAACACGATATACTCAAAACACGTTGATAAAATTTCTTACTGTGCACACTGTCTGTGTGGAGGGGACTAGTTAAAACCCTTATTGGACTTCCCACAGTGACATGCTGTGGAGCATAAGCAAGCATGAGGAAGGGCTGTATTTGTTGATACAGGAGTATCTCTGGGATACATTAAACAGAGAAAGCAAGCGTCTGAACCGAGTAAAAAGTACGCTACCTTTTATGCACAAATGGTAGGAAATTGCAAACACATTTTTATTTTTGCATAAAGATACACAGGAAAGAAATGAGAAGTGGTTAACTCTGAGGAGGGCAGGGTGAGGGGGACAGCTGTGGGAGGAGGCTTTAATGGTGTGGTTACAAAATTGTTTAAAAACCATATGAAATTACCATTTAAAATTTATATCTATAAACCTGATACAGAACACCATAAAACTGACCAAAGGCAAAATCAGCACATTTTTAAGGTCATATTTCTATCTTATACAGATGTAGTTTGTTCTGAGCATGCATTAGTACCCTAAAAATTGCATTTAGACCTCACTTTTAAAATCTTGATCTAATTCCTAGACCCCCTCTGCCTGTCACCCTCTTTTCCTCTCAGACCATTCTTCCTTCCTAACCTTCCTGCCCCCAGACTACAGAAGAAAGAACCATAGGATTTTTACTCTTGGAATCCTTGAAAATCATAGTAAGAGACAATCTGGGTAGATAGTACTTAACTAGATGTTAAAACTCTGAGGCTTAAGAACCAAAACGTGTAATAAAAGGTGGTAACAGACAGGAAAGATGTAATTTTCATTAACATCAGGGCTACTTTTTTGCCTAGGCTCTTCCTTCAAGTAGAAATGGAGAGATGGGTACAGAGTAAGGAATGCGAGGTAGGATAGGACTGAGACTAGAAACTGGATGTTTAGGTACGCAGTTAAACCTTGCTGTTTTTCTTTCTCATCATAGTCCCTGGAAAACCATCTAAAATTTCTTTGAGCATTTATAAACCATTTTGTGTAACTGCATAGCTAAAAAAGTCAACTGAAATGCATTGTTCCATTTTAAAAGGCCATTAATGAAAATGATAATATTGATATTTGCCACTTTCCTATACCGAGGGCTTAAACTGTGGCAGATCCCCGGCATTTTACCCAAAATACCTCAACTGGTTTGTAAACTCCAAAAATATTACTGTTCTCAAACATTTGGAAGAGTCGTGCCATAGCACAAGGGTGTTAGTACATAATGATAATGTGGTCCAGGTGTTGAAGCCACTCTGAGCCCCTGGTGACTTCCTGATCTCAATTACAGAATCTGTGCTCTTCATTCATTTTAACGTATGTGCAGTGTGCATCCTTGGTCAGTAGGTGGTGCCATGAAACTGTCTGTGGCTTAACTAGGGCTTGCCTAAAGCTCTGACAGCACCAACGGCAAACCCATCATTTATTGTGGCATCCCTAGGTGTTTGTGGATGAGAGAAGAGTCTGTGTTGGTTGATGGAGGAGACTGTGAGACTTTTAAAGAATATGCTCTGACTACGGTAACTAGAAGACCAAAGCAGGGAGAGGAGGCGAAAGAATCCAATATGCAGCTTGTCAAGAAACGTGTCTGGGCAGTGGGACAGAATCCGGCCAGTTCTTGGAAAGCCCCTAGCTTGGGTCCACATGGGGAAGTTTAAAAGAGGGCTGTGGACTGGAGACAAGCAGCTATCAGACATGTCATGAGTACATGGACAGGAGCCATTGTCTCTCGAGTGGGAGCTGGAGGCCGAGGAGGAGGACAGCTTCCAACAGCCCAAGGTTTTCTCCGGGAGAAACATGTCCCCAATGGCTGGAAAGAGCAGCCTTGAGGTCTTCTACTTCCTCAGTACAAGATCCTCTCTCCCACGTGGCACACTCCCACCAGTCCAGAATCTCCCCTCTCTAGTTCCTTAGCTTAAGCATCCATGGTCTTTTCCTGAGGTCTCTGTCACTTCTCCTCCCAGCAGCACGTTCAGCATGAAGCTGTCCTGGAGGTAACCAGAGAGCTCAAGTCGAACACATTTAGGAGAATTCCAGATGGTTGCCAGCATGACTGAGGGGAATCACGGAATTCAAGAATTGAAGAAGATCATGGAGTTCTAAACCTTCTCAATCTATAGATGAGGAAAGAGGCCCATGGCAAATCACTGGCAGAAAAGGGGCCAGAATCCTGGGATTTTGTCTCAAAAAGTTGCTTTATTTCTGTACCTATAATGCTATCTAAAGAAAATTATTAGGGGGCCGGCCTCATGGTCGAGTGGTTAAGTTCACATGCTCTGCTTCAGCAGCCCAGGGTTTCGCCAGTTCGAATCCTGGACGTGGACATGGCACTGCTCATCAGGCCATGCTGAGGTGGCATCCCACATGCCACAATTAGAAGGACCCACAACTAAAAATATACAACCATGTACCAGGGGGCTTTGGGAGGAAAAGGAAAAATAAAGTCAAAAAAAAAAGAGGGGGCTGGCCCCATGGCAGAGTAGTTAAGTTCACGTGCTCCGCTGCAGGCGGCCCAGTGTTTCGTTGGTTCGAATCCTGGGTGTGGACATGGCACTGCTCATCAAACCATGCTGAGGCGGCGTCCCACATGCCACAACAAGGACCCACAACAAAGAATATACAACTATGTACTGGGGGCTTTGGGGAGAAAAAGGAAAAAAAATAAAATCTTAAAAAAAATAATTCATTCCTTTTATGATCTATTAAACTTCTGATCAAAAAGAGCCTTTTGCAGGCTTGTTTTAGATTTTTAAGTAACACTTGCTGATCGTCTTTCATGTCAATAACCATTCATGATATTCCTGGTCACTGAAAAGTGTATAAAACTGTGTCTCAAATAATGTTTGGCCAGCCATGCATCTTAGCCAAAAAGAATCATGTGAAAAAGCAAACCAAGCTGTAAGAATTGACTCCAGCTCTCATCCTGGTTTCCAGGCACTTCCTGCTTCTCTCCATGCAATATTATCACTATGACACTGCTAAGAGCAGGGAAGCCTGGGAAAGACTTGAGAACACGTACTTCTTTTCAACTTGTTTCTATAAAGGAGCTATAAAACGTGGACACTGAGAGGCGAGTGATAGGGTTGATTTCACTATTAGATATTTAATTTGTCGTGCTGCTGCATCATAAGCAGTACCAACAAAGATGACCCAGGGGGCTGACCAGTGCAGGCGTCCAGAACATAAATTCTACCTTTCTGTGCACCCTCTGTGCTCAGCTCTGGGCTCCGTCATCTATTCAGAAAATTCTTGGTGTCCAATGTATGATGAGTCTAACAGTCTCCGGAACACAGACTTCTCAGTCTGCAGACTCCTGCTTTACCCTGGGATGAAAGCTTATGGTGATATTTACTGAGTTTACTGCGGCCAAGTGATGGGAATTATTATTACGGAACATGACAGTAGGAACTCTGTGAGGGGTGAGACTTTGCAAAGAAGAATGGCGACACATTTTTATATAAATTATCTTTTATTTCCGTGGCATACAAAAGGTATAAATATGATTTATGTAAAACCAATGGCCTGCACACTCGAGCAGAAAGTACATGGAGCTGGTACACATGTCTTTGAGCCGAGCGAGCAGGAGGAAGCAGGATTAGATCCGGTCGTCCCATGGGGCTCCCCTTCCCCAGCCGCTGTCATGTTGCAACTGGAGATAAACGAGCAGCTTTCCGTTTTCAGCAAGGGCGACCTATCAGCCAGTTCATCGGACGGCGGTGCCGGAGGTGTGAAGGGCTGAGGGCACTTGCAGGAACGAGGCACTTGATGGGAAGCATGCCTGAGATGGACACCAACCATGTCAAACAAAAGCAGGGAGGACTTGCCAGTGGGGGATGAGCAGAGGGACTTTTCCTCTCCCAGATCTCTTTCCTTCACACTGCCATTGGATGTGGAGCAAGGAACGACAGGAAGCAGGGACAAAGGAAGTCCACAGAAGGGAAATATACAGAGCCACTGATTCCTTGCCCCATGCTGGCAAACAGCTCAGTGCACACGGCTTAGGAGGTGAATAATGCTGGATGTAGAGCTCACAGTTCTTGGATTATCAAGATTCAGATACACTCTGAGACTGCTGAACTGGTAGCGGAGTCACATGATTTGTTGGGAGGAGCTGATAATCTGAAAGATTTAGCAAAAATCTTATGATCTGTGAGGAAAAGTGACAGGAGCATTATCTGTACTAATGAACGAGGCTTTAGGGAGCTGGTAATATTTATGTCAAGAAGAAAGGCCCAAAGCTCTGCCCAGGAAGGTGTGCAGAGCTTAAGAGTCAGCTAGCTGGTCCTCACCAAAGCCTCCGCTGACACCTCTCTTGATAATGACAATGACAAGTTTCGATATATAGTGTTTTCTTACCTCTTACACTCTCTACAGGTGTGAGTGTCCCTCTATATTAATGGCTCCACGGTAATTAACATAGCTGTGGGAGGCACTCCTGGGTTGAAAGTGAAGGCAACTGTCAAATTACTCTCAGTCTTAACTAGACTAAGTTCTCTCTAGAGTTTATGTTTTCAGCATAAACTGAAATTAAGACAATTATATAAAATTCTCACATCATTGATCACAAATTTGGCCATAACCACTCTGACAGAGATTGGTGACAGCCAGCCTGCTCCCAGGAAGAAAGGGAAGAGGGAGACTGTAACATCACTACTCTCCCAGCCCCAGGGGAAACAAGCTGGCTCTAAGAAGCAAATACCACGCTCCCTGTGACAAAGACAACACAACGCTAGATGTGTTTCCTAGTGAGCAGAAGTTCTTCTCTTAGGGGGGTAAAGTAGCTGACAACGCCTTCTCCCATGGGTTAAGTTGGGTAGGACAGTGGAACTAAACCACCTGTGTGCACTCAACATGGTCACTGACTGGGTTTCCCAGTTCTGATGGTAAATGATACTCTAGAAACCAGCATCACCAAAACAAGGTAAAGGCCGTGTAACAGTGGGTGCAGCCAAGTACCTCTTCAGATCCAGTCTGTAGGACTGCTGCTTCCTAGATATCCATTTCCCACTCACACGATCTCACGACCACAGGCCCACTTTGGAACATGCCCAAGCCCGTAATCATAGAGCTATACCTGAAACAGAGGTCAGCAAACCACAGCCCACAGGCCGCATCTGGCTTGCTGCCTGTTTTTGTAAATAAAATTTCACTGGAATACAGCCACACTCATTCGTTTATGAAATGGCTACGGCTGCTTCTGCACTACAATGGCAGAGTGAGTAGCTGTCAAAGAGACTATCTGGCAGTTTACAGAAGTCGTCTGCAGACCTGGAGACTAAAGGCAATTCAGGGAACTGTCCCTCTCTGAAAAGGTCTTCAAAAAGAGACCCAAGTATTTAATCATTAGGACTTGATTCCAGCTGCAAGTTTCCAAGCACAGGAAATCTGACTCCAGAGGCAGAGAATCTGTTGAACGATAACCTCAGGAGTCACCAGTGTGCTCTGAACAAGAACCTCTCTGTGCTTTGAACAACCTCTCACCCATGTTAAGCTGTAATCCCTGATCCGGTCTGTGAAACCCAGAGAAGTAGGTGTGTGTGTGTGTATACACATATATATATGTATACATACACACGTGTATACACACACATACACATACATACATACAGGGATTATTCCAAAAGGGGCGGACTGTTGCTCTTCATGTCCTGGGGCAAGAGCAAGGGAGGCCACTATCTGCTCCTGAGAGCTCTGCAGTGAGGAAGCCCAGTGCCTGCTTCCCTCTCATTCACACGCCAGCTTGCTGTCAAAGCTAGAAAGCCCAATGGCAAAGGCCTGCAGCGCACACAGTGGGTAGTTGTAGTCCAGTGTGAACACGTCATCTGCCACACGTCCAAACTGCATGACGATATAGTCAGCTGGCAACAGAAAGAAATTAGGATGTTAGACGATGGTGTGGTTTTACTGGGGAAAATCCTATTGAAGATACAGAAAAAATCCTCCAAATAACTCAGTTAATCACCAGGTCTCTTTAAAATGGGACACTTTAGAAGGATGGAAAGAGGCACTAACAAGAGTGTCTGCTAAGCATGAGCCAAGTTTCTTTCATGACTCCTCTCAAGTGCAGAGGACGGGAGACAACTGCTGACGGGCAGGAAGGGCAGGAGGAGAGAAAAGGCATGAGCGGTTTGCTGGGAGCAGCATATGCTCCAGGGACTGGAGTTGCCAAGGAACCCTTCCGGAGTGAAGGTCATTTGCTTCTGCTTCTGCTTCCCAAACATCCTCACCTGAGACTTCTCTGCTTTGCCACAGGAAATCTCTCCCTCCTCCGCCCTCCTCAACACAGTGGTTCTGAAGTTGGACTGTCAAACTGTAGTTCTGTCTTTTCAAAGAAATCATTTCTTTCTTAAATAATTCTCTCCTGAATCTAACTTCCCATCACTGATAGGAAATGCTCATTTCCCCTTCTTGTAAGAACATGTTTCCTCCTATCCCCCCCACATCCAGCCCTTCCCATGGGCTTACGGTCATTGTCGTGGACTATCTGAAAGTTCTTCACGGACGCCTGAGTGACCCGGCCGTGGAAGTTCAGGACATAGGACTGAGTGTCGTCGTTCCAGACTGGCGCCTTGTTGTGCAGTTCAATCAAGTTCTCCATAGTTTTGTTTTGCCATTTTGAAAGCAAGCTCTCATGGTCCTGTTGGAAAGGAAAATCACTACTTTGTACTGAAAACTGTAAGAAATCACTCATTCTCAACTCTGTGAGGTAGAAGGTAGAGTAGGGGAATATTTTCTCCATTTCAGAAAACGTAAAATAGAAACAAAGAAAACCAAGAATTAAGCCAGGTTTGTTTGACTTATAGATTATCCAGCATTTCTCTTTGCAGACTAAGTGGTTTCATGTCAACCACTTCAGCAACGGCTCTGCAGGCGCACTTACTCTGAGGTTCTGGAGCGACGGCTCTCCTGAAGGAGAGTATAGACATGGTCCAGTTTGGGGTTCTGGAAGAATCATCAATTTTGGTACTGATCTCTTCTGTATTGCATTCTTGTCTTTTAGAGTCCTTGGCTGATTAAATGTGCTCTTACTTACATTTCGTGGCCGAAATGGGATCCGCTCATGATTCATATTCATCCCTGGAATGATCACAGACATTTTCCGAGGGCCTTTAAATCCAAGCACATTTGTTTCCTGGAAGATCGGAAAATAAGACAGAACTTGGCAACAGAAAGGAAAAAGAGACCATATTCTTGACACAAGACTTTCTTGGGCATGTCAAGAGCACTAAGAACTACTTTTGTACTTTACTGTAGTTCAACAAAGACAGAGAGTCCAGAACAGGAAAGTAACACAGTACCTCTGTTAAGTCTAATTTGAACACTTGAATTTAAAATAGAGTCTATTGGCTTGAAACTTTACTCTTACTCTTTAGTCTTAAGTGAAATTTGAGACAACTGTGAGCAAACTGTCCAATTTTATCATCAACAATAAATATTTATTTCCCAATGAAGGCATGGCACTGTATGATATACAGTGAGAATTATAGTTTAAATTAAATAGGGCCTGTACCAGGAGGTAAAAAACTTAAATGCTTGTTGACCCAGGTAGATTATATATGAATAAAATAAGTACATTAAATAGGTGGATACATATGTTTGTATGCGTGTGTTTTCATATACATACACATGCACACACATATATGAAAGTCACACATAATTAAAATATTTAATTGATTCTGAGGCTGAGAAAAAATACCATATATCATATAGTGTCAAGTCAAATGGTTCTCAGTCACTTAGATAAAATCTCATGGGAATCAAATGATGAGATTAATTCCAACTTAAGAAACACTGGGACTTTGGGATCAAAGCAACAACTGAGTTGGGTTAATTCCTTCTTGCTTTCTTTTACTCAACAACTCTTCGAATGCTTACTATGTGCCAGGCCCCATGTTAGTGTGGATAGAGCAGTGAGTAAGAGTTTACAAACTGGTGGAGAAGGTTCATGATGAAGAGGCAATAATAAGTATAACATGTGGGTTACAAGAGGATGCCCAGGGTGCCGTGGGGACACACACAAAGGAATGTCAATCACATCAAGTGGTCAGGAAAGACTTCTCTGATGACATCAGTCGATCGGGCAAAGGGCAAGGAGCGGGGAAGGGAAGACTCTCAGGTGAGGGAAGATCCTACGGTGGAGCAAAGGGACGGCAGGAAGGCCCTAGTGGCTGGCCTGGTGGGGACGGGAGGGGAGAGTGCCACTAGAAGAGCCTGAAAGGAAGGCCTTTACTCTGTATGCAGTGGGTAGTCATTAAAAGACTGGAAGCAGGAGAACAACAGGATCACCTGGTGCTCTGTTTTAGGAAGATTTGTCTGGCAGCAGTATAGAAAGAAGTAGACAGGAAAAGACTAAAAGCACAGAGGTCAATTTCTAATTTATTGTACCCAATGGGTTTGAGGTGATGAAGGTCTGAGTTAATACAATGGCATTAGGAAAAGAGAAGAGAAGAGAAGGCAAGACATGTTAAAACAGTAAAAAGTCACTGAACTTGGGGCTGGCCCCGTGGCTGAGTGGTTAAGTTTGCGCGCTCCGCTGCAGGCGGCCCAGTGTTTCGTCGGTTCGAATCCTGGGCGCGGACATGGCACTGCTCGTCAGACCACGCTGAGGCAGCGTCCCACATGCCACAACTAGAGGAACCCACAACGAAGAATACACAACTATGTACCGGGGGGCTTTGGGGAGAAAAAGGAAAAAATAAAATCTTAAAAAAAAAAAAAAAAAAAAAGTCACTGAACTTGGCAATTCATAAATAATTAAAACTTGAATATACAAAGAAAACGATACCAGCAACGGAAAAGGGGATCATAAAACCAGAAACCACCTTGAGAGGGAAAATTACCAGTTCCGTGTTGGCTACGTTAAGTCTGAAGTACCAGCAGGACATGCAGGAGATTAAGGCAAAGAGCACACTCCGAGGGCGGCACTTACGTAACAGACGGCTGCCAGCTCCTGCCGGGTGTAGGCCTTTTCTACCAGACCTTGGGCCTTGGTTGGGCTGACACCATGGTCATAAACTGTAAACTTGGTCCCCATGAGGTTGGATCTACAGTCAAGAGAAAAAGTCACCATAATGACCTATATTTTTTCTCTTACACAAACACAGTCTAGGAGAGGTATGCACCAGAATGGAAGCCTATGTGCCTGTTCTCCAAACGTCTCAATGTTCATCATCATTCGTACAAAGATCTCTCATTAAAACAAGGAAGGAACTTAGATTTTCTTTTAACGTTTTTTTTATTACAACATCAATACATGCTCATTGGAAAAAAGACAGGGGTTGTTTCGAAACTACACGAATCAAAGTATCAGAAAGCACAGGACAGTGACAGAGGCTGCTCTCACCTGAGTTTGCCAATATAACTTTCCCCTTCACGAGACAAATCTGTTGGGTCAGTCGAGATAAGGTAGTTGGATGTTTTGCTCTTTTTCCGTTTTCTACCTGCAAGAAGAAATATCTGGACAAAGGAAAAATGTCAGTCAAAACTGCGGTGAAGAGAACCACCACAGTTTGTTCCACGTATTCACTTAGCAAATGTTTAGCAAGTGCCTATCATGTACAAGCAGTCAATCTTTGAGTCTTTTTTAAAATTCACCTTAATTTTTCTTGTATAAAAACTGTGTGCTGGCCACAGCTGGAGCCTGGGTCTTCTGCACGGAAACTCTAGGTGGGTCTTTACAAAATGGCCAGTGAATTCCTGATCAGGGACTTGGTGAACACGGTCTCTTTCCAGGGGTTGGGGGTGAGAAAGCCGTAGGTCTTAGAAATGGCATCAAAAGTGGCCTTGGCAAAGCTGCCCAGGTAGCAGTGCAGCCCTGGCCGAGGTGTAACAGGTGTCAATGCGAGTCAGCAGCAGTAGCTTCTTGGGCACAGGGCTGCGACAACACCAGTGCCCCGGGGGCGGGGCTGAGGTGCGCCTGCACAGAACCACATCAGCCAGTCGCCTTGCAAGGGATGGTGTGGAGCTTGCTGATCTTGTTTCCCCAGCAGCCTCACTGCACTGGGACTAGAGAGAGCTTAGCCAGAAGAACGGCCCCACAAATGGCAGTGGCTACCGCCTTGGAGCACTTAACCCCCATACTGACACGTCCCTTGTATTCCCCAATGGCGACAAATGCCCTGATCCTGTTCTGTTGGTCAGCACGGATGGGTCTTGCTTTTGCATGGGCATAATCTTCAAAACTTCGTCCTTGAGGGACACCTCCAGAAAAAAGTCACTGATCTCAGATTCCTTGATTGGCAGGCAGAAGAGACAGATCTCCTCCAGGGACTTGCTCTTCATGTCCTTGACCAGGTGACCCAACTTGGTGAGGGGCATCCACTCCTTGGCCTTGGCCTTGCCTGCTCTGGCTCCCTAGACCCCCTCCTGGGAAGCCTCTGACAAAGCTTCAGCAGATGGCAGGAGGCCTCCCATTCCAGGGCTCCCAGGGCCTCTGCCCTGGCCCTCGCCCCTCCCCCCAGCAACAGTGTCATCTACCATTTGGTGTTTTCTCAGAGAAGACCAGTTTGGGAGTCTTTATCCCTTTTTCTAAACCTCATAATGCTTCTCAGAATTCACCATCAGGGTTTCCTTACTGTACAACTTTTCTAAGTTCACCAGTTTGATTCTCCATATAACTATTTACAACTTGATCCCTAAAACCTCCAGTGACTTTTTTTAAAAAGGTTCATGCAGTTCCATGAATGAGAGTCTTTCCACCTTTACGAGAAACAGGATCCTGAATACCCACCCTTCCCATTCTTTACTGCAGCTGCTTCCTAATCCTCCTTTTTATATTTTGTTGTTTTACAGCCCTGTGACTTCCGTAATATGAATACTGTTACATTCACGCCCTTCCTACACCCTAGTAGCCTGGACAACAGGGAGGCAGGACAGCAGCAGTAGCTAAGGAGGGGGCTGTGGAATCGGACAGACATGGGCTGGAATCTGGCTCAGCATTTATTAGTGTGTTCTGAGGCAAGTACATCATTCCCTAAGTCCCATGACCTCATCCATAAAGCAGGGATGAGAAATCCCATCTTATGAGGATGTTATAGGGACACGCCTGATCCACTGTAAACAATAAATACTGGTTATATAATTACATCTACCATCATCATGTCATTGCTAGGCTCTTAAAATCACCCACTTAGACCGGGTATTAATACAAAATACACTCTCCATTAGCAAGTACTAAACTGCCTCAGATTTATGGATAAAGTAAATTAGAATTTCTAGGGCAAGAAACAAGTCATTTCACTTACATGTTCTTCTGTATTTCCAATTCCTTCTACTCCCTAAATAAACAAATTCCCTTGCTCTCTTTCTTTCACAATGTCACGTTCCACCTTAATAAAAATAAAAACCAGAGAGCACACGGTAACACTCCCTACACCCCCAAAAATATTTGCAGGTGAAAATAATTACATTCAAATATTCTCTTCCATTTTCTTACATTCTGTATACAAATCTTTCTCTTTGGGTTGGGGGTAGATTTTGCCTATTACACTACGAGATCTTTGAAGACAGCGAGAACACAGCTCCTGGGAACTGATAAATACCATCCACTTCCAGCTGACCGGTCTAATACCAGTGCTATTCCCCTCTCAAAAGGCCCGCTAACAATCTAGTCCCACGACATTCCTCCCTCTATCTTGAGATTTATCTTAAGAATCAATTCTCATACCTTCCTGTTTTCATCCTTTTCCAAGTGCATATAGTAAGTGGGGAAGAGACCCCGATCCATTCCTTTTTTGTCCCTGGTTATCCGACACTTGACTGTGATACCTCGGGGGGCAGGACTGTAAGCAAAGTCCTCTAGATTCTCCACTTCTCCCAGCTGGTTATCAACTTGTTGGGCTGCAGTACCAGAAGCTCCTGTATCCTGAAAGCATAGCTGTACGTGAGCAATAGGTGGTTGCGTCAGAAAACCTCACATTCTCTTCGAGAAATACTGAATGGACAAAATAACTTACTGATTTACCCCTATGTCTTCAGTCATCTGACAAAATAAGGGGAAACTCTGAGAAGTTAAATAAGTATATGAATACTGGGAATACAAAGGAGCTAAGTATGAAAATGGGAAAAGAAGCTAAGTACAAGAGCTGGCTTGAGACACAAGAAATTAGAGAACTCATGAACTTTTAAGTCTAAATTTGAGCTTAAATCTTTAAAGGACCCTGATTCCTCAGCAGTGGTAGCGGTATTTAAATACTGAAGACATGTGTGGGAAACAGTTAAATTAGCTCCAAAGGAAGACGTTTCAGAACTACGTACTGTGGTCGACTTCTGGCTGGATGCAGAACTGGGTCTCTCTGCCTCTGAATATGGTGAATGAGATCTTAATTTTCTTCCCTCTTCTTCCTCCCCATCAGACTCCTCCTCATCAAAGTTCAAACTACCTGAGATACCTAGTGGAAAAGCAAGAAGTGTCAACACCTGCCAACACTGGCTTAAAAAAGAAAACTTTGAACCGAAGATAATTTTAATTTTCTTGTTAAAACATTACAAGCTATTCTGACCTTAAACATGGCTATTTTATCCAAATTTTGACAATTCTTTCTTCATATTCTCACTCAGATCCATCTTTTGTTTTCCCTTCCCACTGTTGCCACCCTAATTTAGTTCTTCAAAACATTACGTCCATGGGAAAAAAACATTTGCAAATCATATTTATGATAAATGAGTAATATCCAGAATATACAAAGAACAACTCAACAACAACCCAATTCAAAAATGGGTAAAGGACTTGAGCAGACATTTCTCCAAAGAAGATACATAAATGACCAATAAATACATGGAAAGATGCTCACATCACTAGTCATTAGGGAAATGCAAATCAAAACCACAATGAGATACCACTTCACAAGCACTGGGATGGCTATTGTAAAAAAAAAAAAAAAAAAATAAGTGTTGGCCAGAATGTGGAGAGAGTGGAACCATCGTGAACTGCTGGTGGCAATGTAAAATTGTGCAACCACTATGGAAAACAGTAGAGTGGTTCCTAGAAAAATGAAATATAGAATTACCATATGATCCAACAATTCCACTTCTGGATACATACCCAAAGAGAAGTGAAAATAGAGACTCAAACAGATACTTGTACACCAATGTTCACAGCATCATTATTCACAATATCCAAAAGGTGAAAACAATCCAAATATCCATCAACTGATGAATATATAAACAAAGTGTGGTATAAACATCCAATGGAATATTACTCAGCCTTAAAAAGGAAGGAAACCTGCCACAACCCGGATTAATCTTGAAGACATCTTGCTAAGTGAAACAAGCCAGACACAAAAAAGGACACACACTGTAGGATTCCACTTATGTGAGGTACCTGCAACAGTCAAATTCATAGAGACAGAAAGGAGAACGGTGGTTGCCAGGGGCTGGTGGGAGAGGAAAATGGAGTTACTGTTCAATGGGTAAGGAGTTTTATTTTGGGAAGATGAAAAAGTTCTGGAGATGGACAGTGGTGATGGTTGTACAACAATGTGAATGTACTTAGTGCCAGTGAACTACCCACTTAAAAATGGCCAAAATGGTAAATTTTTTTTTTTTGAGGAAGATTAGTCCTAAGCTACCATCTGCTGCCAGTCCTCCTCTTTTTGCTGAGGAAGACTGGCCCTGAGCTAACATCCATGCCCATCTTCCTCTACTTTATACGTGGGATGCCTACCACAGCATGGCTTGCCAAGTGGTGCCATGTCCACACCCGGGACCCGAACCGGTGAATCCCAGGCTGCTGAAGCAGAATGTGCGAACTTAACCGCTGCCCCACCAGGCCAGCCCCTAAAATGGTAAATTTTATATAATGTACATTCTACTACAATAAAAACAAAATTCAATGATCCATTGCTTTCTATATCAGTTACTTTTTTGGTTTCCTGCATTTTGTTCATCTCTAGTCCAGTTAATTATTTTGAGTTGGGAATGTCTGAAATACTACTACCTGGGATTTATGAAGCACCTTTTAGAGAAAATTAAAAACTATTTTTTCATTTTATCCTCACATTTATATGAGTTTGAGGAGGAGATACTGGTAATCTTATTTTTTGTTTTGTTTCCTGTGTCTATGGAACATATGTGGAGAGGAACACAGGTATAAAATAAACTGTGATGTGTGTTATAAAACAAGTATGGTGCTCAAATGTACATGTGAGTGTGAGGCTCAGGGAGAACCATCCGCCCAAGAGAAAAAGGCAGAGCTAAACTGAAACTAAATTCCCTTTTTTCTTTACTCTCTAAGGTGAAGTTACCCCTCACATAATAGTTGAAATAGCCCCCAACTCATGGATTGACAAGTAGACTAACAACAAGCAGCGTGGCGTTCATTTCCTGCCCAGAGCCAACCATCTCAGAGGAGGGACGACTATCGTCTACTTTTTACACATTCCCACATAAATTGGTATTAGCTTTTCTCAAGGACACCCAAGGATAAGACACAGGCCAGTTAAAAAATTAATCTCAAGTGAAAACATATGTCCACACAAAGACTTATGCATGAATGTTCAGAGCAACATTATTCATAATAGCCAGAAGTGGAAACAACCCAAATGTCCATCACTGGTGAAGAGATAAAACAAAATGTGGTATATCCATACAATGGAATGTTATTTCATAAAAAGGAACGAAGTACCCATACGTGCTACAACATGGATGCACCTTGAAAACATTATGATAGGTGAGAGAAGCCAGTCATAATAGACCTGCTAGTATATGATTCTATTTACATGAAATATCCTGAATAGCCAAATCCACAGAGACGGAAAGCAAGTAGACTGGCAGTGCCCTAGGGCTGGAGGAGCTGGAGGGAAATGGGAAGTGATTAGTAACGGGCAGGAGGTTTCTTTTGCAGGTCATGAAAATGTTCTAAAATTGATTGTGGTGATGGTTGCAGACCTCTGTGAATACACTAAAAACCAATGATTTATTCACTTTAAATGAGTGAACTGTATGGTATGTGAATTATATCTCAATACAGCTATTATAAAATAAATTCTGTGGTTTGTGAAGGACATTTTTTCTTTGTTTTCTCAAATGTTAACCTTTGTTTTTGGTAGCAAAAAGGCATAAGACTCTTGGGATCTCACTATGATATGGGTACCTTCACTTAATACTATGTTTTCAAATGCCATTTTTATACCAAGAACTGTTTATGTGAATGTATATCTTAAAACGGAGATAAAGATTTCTCCAAAACTTGTAAGACAACGAAATTGGATCCACGTAAGGGACAGAATCTGCCAAACTGACACTTCTTAGATCTTAATCAAGAGAGCACTTAACAGGTTTTATGGTCAAGACGCAACTTGTTGAGACGTGAAAAGGCATTAATCCATCTGGCACTGAAAGGCCAATTCTGAGAAAGAACACAGCAGTCACACAAGGGGACAACATGGTATTTACAGTCAGGGATAAAGAACTAGACTGAGAATCAGAATCTAGGTCTGCCACTATTCAGCTAGATGACTTGGGGTAAGTAATTTAGCTTTTGGTTTAACTGAAAGTTCTCTTTGCTTGACTCCTCCACATCTTTCACTTTCTTTTGTTGTAGTAACAGTGGTAGTAAAGTAATAGAGAAGTACCATAATCACATTCATACTACAGAGAAACTGAGGCCGAGAAAAGTTAAGCTGGTTTACCCCTTTCCCAGCCAGATGTGGAAGAGTTGAAATTCAAAACCAAGCAAGCTTGCTCCAGAGCTATGCTCCAATCCATTTCACTACACTGCCTTTGCCACACCCTGCACACTAGTCGTCTGTCCCAGGTGCACAAATATATCATGTTTTTACACCTGATGCCTTTGCTCACATTATTTCTTCTGGCCAAGTGTGCCACCTAAGTAGCAGTGTGATCCAGGACAAATTACTTAGCATCTCTGAGAATCAATTTTCTTTTATGTAAAGTGGAGAGACTAATATGTATAAACCCCTCAGAGCACTGTTACAAATATTAAATTAATTGAGATAACGTATGTCAAGTGCCTGACATACAAAAGACATTCAAAACGTCAGTCTCCAGTTGTTTCCATAGATGACACCAGTGCGTTATACGCCACATTATAACTCTAGGTCAGGCCACCAGCCAAACCATCTCCTAATTAAATGTTCCTGCTTCCAGACTTGCCCCCCTCCAATTCATTCTTTATGGTGCAGAGTGGTTTTTCTACAGCCCAAATCTGATGCTATATTATTCCTCAGCTTAAAATTCCTCATAGGTTCCTATTATTCTTCAGAGAAAGTCCAAATTCCTAATATAGCCTATAATGTCCTAAATAATGAGGGCCAACTTACCTCTCCAGGTTCCTCTCTCTACATTCCCCTTCCCACCATACTGCCCCATACTCTGAGCTCCAGGCATCTGGACTGGCCAGCTCCCCTTGCTGCATCAGGATCCAGCTCAGACGTCACTCTCTCTGGGAAGCTTTCCAAACCTCCAACTCTGTTTCAGGCATCCCTCTCGGTGTTCTCTTGGCTATTTAAGCGCATGAAGCCTCACTCAGAATAAATGTCCCAGCGGGCATGCACCTTGTTTATACTGCTTTACCCTAAGTGCTAGAACAATGCCTGATATATAGTATATACTCAATACGTATTTCCTAAATGAATGAATGTATGAATGTTGATTTTATTTTTCCCTTTTCTCCCCAAAGCCCCCCCAGTACATAGTTGTGTATCTTTTAGTTGTGGCTTCTGGTTGTGGCATGTGGGACGCTGCCTCAGCATGACTTGATGAGCAGTGCCATGTCTGCACCCAGATTCAAACCAGTGAAACCCTGGGCCGCCGAAGTGGAGCATGCAAACTTAACCACTCGGCCACAGGGCCAGCCCCTCTACCATTCTGAGCTAGAATCTCTTGATCCATATATCCCAGGATCTAGCAATGCCTAGCTATTATTAAATAGGCACCACACATAAATATTTATTCAGTATTGGGCTTCAGTCTTCTAATCTGAAAAGGGGATGCTTAATTTCTTCTCTTATAAAATTATTTTTCTAAGAAGGAAAGAAGACTACAAGGGACCTCTGAAATGTACAGGAACATTTATGGAAAAGATAACTCCAACTGGCAGAAAGTAGGCTCTTTGTGGAAAAAGTATTAGCTGAAGCATGTTTTGACCCAATTTGTGTTTCCATTCACCGGGCTGTTTATCTTTCCCCTTATCACTAGATCAGTATGAACTGTGCAATGAGGCAGAGTAGGCCTGTTGAGGGGCAACTTTGACAAAGGAAGAGGGTGGGAACTAAAAATCTCAAAAAGAAAGAAATAGCTATATATCGTGGCTAATGCTGCTCACATTTTACATTTGATTTAAATACCTTTTCTCAGGCAATCGGATAAACACTATTATTGTTGACAATGACCAATTCTCAGATGTCAAAGAAGCCTAATATCACCTCTGTAAAGCCCTAAGCCACATTACAATCAATTCTGAATCATCTAGATTGTTAACCAACAATGGAAGAAAGTAAAGTAAAAGCTTATAAATGACTTTGCCATCATTGCCAATCCTCACCATGTTTTTGGAGGATCTCCTGAAGACCCGGTTTGGAAGCAGTATCCAAAGTGCTCTCCCCGTCGACACTTCCTTCGGCATCCTCCTCCAAAGCCGCAGAACCCACTGAGAGAACATGAAGTCTGGTTTCCAAATCTTGAGCATCTGGCTTCAGGAAGGCAGCTGGGCCATCAATGCCTAGGGGCCAAAAGAAGAGACAAGAGGAAAGTATTATCCACTATTTAGCTGGGTGGTTTTGGTGTATGTGTCAGAATTAAGAACCACCAAACCATTTTACTTCTCCTCCCTCCTTAACATCCACAAGGACATTTGTTAACAGAGTAATTCAGGACTGGTGTTCATTTTATTAACAGCTCTCACTGTTACTCTGAATGTACTTGATTTGCGCTTGAGAAACTTAAGAATGAGACCATGAATACAAAGTAGGTCCTCCAAAGGGCAGATCCTGTCCAAGCCAACAGCTCAGGGGGCTTGATTCACAGGCTCCTAATCCTCTTCTTCCCCTCACCATCTCAGGTGATCCTGAGTCCTCTCTATTGGAAGAATGGATGCTCTCTACCTTCTCCTGGCTTCATGGTTAACTCTGCCATGATGTAACAATCAAGACTATAAGCTCCTCAAATAGGCCATTTTGGATTAATTCATTTGGCACTGACAACAACAATTCTGGGATGGATATGAACTTTAAAGTGTCTTCCACTGATTAGGTCATTCCTTTTATTCCAACTCAAAGACCCAGCACGTGACTATAATGATGTACGAAGCCACCCAGTAACGATGCTAATGTTGCCCTTTGGTCTGTCTGAGAATCCTCCTGCCTTCTCCTAGGTTTGTGAAAACCGTACCCCAGCAGGAAGAGATGCTGCCTAGATACACACCATGCAGGATGACATCATTATGTGGGGTACGCGGTTCCACTAAAGGAGTTTGCTCCTCACTACCTCTTGGCTTTGACCGACGGAGCCTGGCTTCTGGATTTGGCTGTACCATGAGTGGCTCAAGGCGCTTTTTTCTCTGCTTCTTCTCCAGGAGTGCTCTCTAGGAAAAAATTGTGATATGATAGCCAGGAGACTTATGACAAAACCTCACTACTTTGAACATTTAGTTTTTCAATCACAAAACTACTTGTAAATTAATTTTTCCCACTTAAGAAATGGGAAGATTGAGGCAAAGAGAGGGGTAAGGATTCATTCATTTCATTTAATACATATTTACTAAACACTTATAAAGATCTATTTAAAATGATACGAATTCATTTCTGGCCAAGCTGAGGCCGTGATCCAAGTCTACTTAAAATATATATAGCAGGGACTGGCCCCAGGGTGTAGTGGTTAAGTTTGGCACGCTCAGCTTCAGCAGCCTGGGTTCGCAGGTTTGGATCCTGGGTGTGGACCTCCACCACTTGTAAGCCATGCTGTGGTGGCGACCCACATATAAAGTAGAGGAAGACTGGCACAGATGTTAGCTCAGAGCCAATTTTCCTCAGAAAAAAAATATACATATAGCAATTATATTATTATCAAAGCATGACCACAAGTTTAAAATATATAAACACATATGCATAGGGGAAAAGAGGAAGGAACACAGTGATGGTGATTTCTTTGGGTGATAGAAGATGAATAATTATTTTCCTTTATCTAGTTTTTCTATTTTCTAACTTTTGTAATTGGAGGAAAAAATAAAACTTATTCTCTAAACCCGAAATTATTTTCATGTTTTAATCAGCTAAAGAGCAATAAATTTTGCTTTCTTGCTCATTTTTACATATTTAGAAATCAAACAAATTAGGGCCAAGGGTAAGAAGGAAAAAAAATGGCAGTTGGAATACCCCAAATAGAAAGCAGTCAACTCTCTGGATAAAGAGCAGGATGAAGAGCATGGCGGCAAGAGAAGCCAGGGAAAGTGTGAGGGATCCAAGAGACAACGCAACAACACGGACAGGAAGGCACCACTAGCACATAGACTACTAGGCTTTGGCAAGAAGAGCTTGTGATACACAGAAGTCCTGATGGCCCTGGGATACCACAGAATAGGAAAGTGCCAAGCCTCAAGCTAAGAAATTAAGTCATGATTTAAAAGCAAAGACATTATAACCTACTTTATAGTTTCTTAGGCAAAAAGCCACCTATTCACTTTTTTTCACCGATATTGCTTTTAAAAAGTGCCACTAGGAAGGAGAGTTCCCTCAGGGGGGTGAGACTGTCAGTAGGAAAGGAAGTGTGTTTTCCTGAGCTGGCCTGAAACCTTGTAGATAAATTCTGAAGACACGGAAGAAATAGAACTATTCTTTTTTATCCAACTTTGTATATAAGAAAAAAGACTGAGGAGCTAAGATAATATGCCAAAATGGACTATGCCATCAAGAAGGAATAAAGAGCTTAGAGCAGGTTGGGAAGGAATGATTGGGGTTTTTGAGATTATTTTGAGGTTCATAAGTTAATATGAATAGATGGACCTTAATGCACCAGGAACACAAAATACAGAGGAGGTCACAACGAGGTCCTCCCCACAGAACTTGCTGATAAGGCTCTCCTAGCAGCTACGAAGTCTTGTATAAGACTTGGATGGATAAGAAGTGACCTGCCTAAAGAGATGACAAATATGAAGGAGAAAGACATGAGAAACTGCCCCATCTTATCACCGTGGCCACAGCTGTACGCGTCTCATAACTGTGAAACAAAACACAAGCTAGAGCTAGGCCATTTTACTAACATGTGAAGAAAAAATGTTCTATAGCGCAGTGTTATTCTGCCTGCAGTCTAGAAAAGGGAGGTCAAAGAGCTAGAATTTGACAGTTTATCCAGCCCGTCCAAGAAAGAGAAGCTGAACTGGCAGACAAGGGTAGTCTGTTTGCCAGGAGAGTGCACTCTACTGGAGGACAGGAAGCCACAGAAGGCCTCTCCACGGCCTTGAGGAAGCAGCCCTGAGGGCTCGGTAATTCTGTTTCCTCTCATTCCTTGCTACCAACGAGCCTCCTAATCTTCCATTTGACTTCTTAGGTATCGTATTCCCAGGAACAGAGTCATGAACAGAGATGAATGCACACTGAGGAGTTAGAGCTCTCGCTGTAAATGAATAAACTGGTGTCTGGTTTCCTAACTGACTGTTGTGAGTTTGACTAGTCTGAGTTTGTGCCGAAGGACCTGGTTACATCTAGGTTCGCTGACAAACAAGTTCCTAGACTCGTCAAGGACACACTGGACTCGGCCACGGTGACCCTCCCAAGGCATCCGGTGAAGCCCTCCTTCAGCAGCTTCAACACCAGTCAGACTAGCCTACATCAACAACTTGAGAAAACCCACAACTGGACAGTCAGACTGTGAACTGCAGGACCACAGCTACTACATGACAGCACTGAATATATCTGACTACTGTCCAAGTTTACAAATAAGAAGAAATCATAAAATATCGACATGCGGGCAAACCGCCATCTTGGTGAAAACCGTCACCTGATTTAGCATTCGAATCACCCTCCTATGTTTAGTTGGGGGGAGAAGAGAGGTGCTAGTTGAGTTTCAACATAATGACGTCAACTCCTGCTTCATTTGTGTTTTGCCTTCCCTGAAAAGCTAGGAGTGCTTTAAGGAGGCTGCATAACAAAGGACTCCTTACAAAGTCAGGGCATGGTCAGGGGAGTCAGGAAGACAGCCAGAGGGGAGTGTTTGATGCCCTAAATGCAATTAAAACACGTTGCCGTCACAAGTGTCACAGAAATTTTAATTTCCCAATTCCCTTGGAAACTAAACAATAGTTCAAAGAATCCACCTTCTCCAGAATCTGGCGGTAGGTCCAACTACCATTCCCTGGGGGCAAAATACTGAAGGACACCACCAAAATAAATGAGGAAATAAAGGAGACTGCAGACCATAGAAAGTGTAAACTCTGAGAAGAAAACATAGGAGCAAGTCTTCATAACCTACGGGAGGCAATGGTTTCTTAAATATAATATCAAAAGTACAAGCAAGGGGGGCTGGCCCCGTGGCTGAGTGGTTAAGTTTGCGCACTCCGCTGCAGGCGGCCCAGTGTTTCCTTGGTTCGAATCCTGGACGCGGACATGGCACTGCTCATCAAACCATGCTGAGGCAGCGTCCCACATGCCACAACTAGAAGGACCCACAACGAAGAATATGCAACTATGTACTGGGGGCTTTGGGGAGAAAAAGGAAAAAAATAAAATCTTTAACAAAAAGAAAGTACAAGCAAGGGAGGCCAGTCTCATGGCCTAATGGTTAAGTTCAGAACACTCTACTTGGGTGACCTGGGTTCAGATCTTGGGCGCAGACCTACACTCTACACCACTCGTTAGCCATGCTGTGGCAGTGACCCACATGTGAAATAGAGGAAGATGGCACAGATGTTAGCTCAGGGCTAATCTCTCTCAGCAAAACAAAACAAAACAAAAAAGGAGAGGCAACAGAAGAAAAAATAGACAAATTAAAACTTTTGTGCTGAAAATGATACCATCAAGAAAGTAAAAAGACAACCAAAAGAATTGGAGAAAACATTTATAAATAATATTTCTGATAAGGAACTTGGATCTAGACTATATAAAGAACTCTTACAACTCAACAACAAAAAGACAATAACTCAATTTCAAAATGGGCAAAGGATTTGGATAGACATTTCTCCAAAGAGGACATACAAATAGCCAGTAAGTACACTAAAAAAAATGCTCAACATCATTAGTCATTAGGGAAATGCAAATCAAGACTACAATGAGATACCACTCCATACCCACTAAATGACTATAATCAAAGACAGACAATAATAAGCATCAACAAGGAGATGGAGAAACTGGAAGCCTCGTACATTGCTGGTGGGAGTGTAAAATGGTTCAGTGACTTTGGAAAACAGTCTGGCAGTTCCTTAAAATGTTAAACAAAGACTTACCACATGACCCAGCAATTCTACTCCTACTGCCTAAGGTGTAGTAGGTACACCTTGGTATTCCTATAGGTATATCACCCAAGAGAAATGAAAACGTCTACACAAACACTTGTACACAAATGTTCAGAGCAGCATTATCTGTAATAGCCAAAAGTAGAAATAACCCAAGTGCCCACTAGCTGATGAATGGATAAACAAAATGTGGTATATCTACAAAATGGAACATTACTCAACAGCAAAAAGAATGAAGTACTGATATGCGATACAACATGGATGACCCTTTCACTAAGTCAAAGAAGCCAGACACAAAAGACTATACATTGTCTGATTCCATTTATACAAGATCTAAAAATCATTTGTACACTTTAACTGGGTATATATTTATAGTATGTGAATTCTATCTCAATAAAGCTGTTCAAAAATCTATATACGACAAAAATAGCCATGTGTAAATTACCTGAGAATCTGGGTTTTGTTTTGTTTTGTTTTTTGAGGAAGATTAGCCCTGAGCTAACATCTGCTGCCAATCCTCCTCTTTTTTGCTGAGGAAGACTGGCCATGAGCTAACATCCGTGCCCATCTTCCTCTACTTTATATGTGGGACGCCTGCCACAGCATGGCTTGATAAGTGGCATGTGCATCAGCATCCAGGATCCGAACCAGCGAACCCCAGGCAGCTGAAGCAGTGCACGCAAACTTAACTGCTGCGCCACTGAGCTGGCCCCTGAAAATCTAGGATTTCTAGACATTCAATTCTAAGACTGTACTATCAGGAAAACAGGATAGACATGACAGAAACTAATCTGATCAATAATACTGTAACCTGGATGATGAAAGAATGAGTTGAGAGAATGGAAATGGTCTATGTGGAAATAAGGTAAGGCAGGACTTAAGAGCCAGATTTACCTTGTGGCTCTAGGACTGTCCAAGGCAGGAGCGTCCTGGGCAGACACTCACACGTCCCATTCTGTTGGCAGGTTTATCCCTTTAGTAGAGGTGAATTAACTGTTCCATCACACGATGATAGTTCTCATAAAGAACAGTTTACAAACTCCACTTATCTGATTTCAAACTCACCAGGCCACTTTCTGATTGCAAACAGACTTTTCTAACGGAAACGTGATGACCAGCTGATTCTGGCATACAGTTTACTAGAAATTAATAAATTAACCCTCTGATTTAGATTCACCTCCTATGATATTGGTTAGTATGAACCAATCCTCAAGAGACTGATTAACTTTGGTTGCTCTTAGCAAACTACTTCTCATCCTACAAAGCTCACAACCAGTGACTCTCAAGCATGAGGACATTCCCATAGCAGAATTCCTGAGAGGTTAATGTCCTGTGCACCTCAGGCAGGGGTGGGAGGAGCGAGGTGACTGTCAGAGGACTGTGAACCCCCCACCAAGATACGGCCAGCCTAGGAGGCCCAGACTGAGCAGCAGCAGCCTAGCTTTCTCCAATATCTCCCTCTCAGCTCTAACTTCCACGCTCTAAGATCCTTTCCAACATTCTATTATTTCATGTGATCCAACCTCACTTTACAGATGAAATAACTGGGGCCCACAGAGTTTGAGGATCTTACCTAAAATCACACAGCTAACTCACGGCAGAGCTAGAGCCGGAACCAAAGCCTTCTGCTTCCCAGCCCACTGTTTTGTTCATTATGTGGCACTGCCTTTCTAGCTACAGGCCATCTGAGTGCTCAGCCAGCATTTGTGGGAAGCCCCTTGCCCTTGCTGAGCAGCCTCCTTCCTATGCATAGGGTAGCATTTCAGGGCTCTAAAACTATTCATACACCATTTAACACCAACATTTATACTCAAGTCCAAAGAGATTTTTTTCGAATTTAAAAAAATTCCTATAGGAGCTGGCCCGGTAGCACCTTCCGCTTCAGCGGCCTGGGGTTAGGCGGTTCGGATCCCGGGTGTGGACATGGCACCGCTTGGCAAGCCATGCTGTGGCAGGCGTCCCACATATAAAGTAGAGGAAGATAGGCATGGATGTTAGCTCAGGGCTAATCTTCCTCAAGCAAAAAAGAGAAAGATTGGCAACAGATGTTAGCTCAGGGCAAATCTTCCTCAACAAAAAAAAAGAAAGAAAGAATGTACTATAAAAAGGCTTACAAAATCTAAACATTTATACCACAAACATACAACATGCAGCGTTCTCACTGAAAAGAATAAAAGTCACAAAATGTTTGGGCCATCTTTTAAAAAATCCAGGAAAATATCTATATACAAAACTCGAAAACTACATAAAGTTCAAAAACTTATGTCTTATTACTTGGTAGATGATCATAGATTTCACCTAATGTTAGCAAAGGATGTACCATTTAGCCTTATAAATATAAATCAAAGATCTAAAATTCTAAATACAGTTTGCTATGCAATGGAATGTAGAAAATAAAGGGCTCGTTCCAAATATCCTGATCTTGCGGGGGAGGGAAAATAAATATGTAATCGGAATTTTCCCCATGATCCCAGGAAGATTCGTTTCTTGCCTAGTTTTATTTACTTTCTCAGTATTAGAAAGAATTGTTTACTTTACACCCCTCAGGGACAACTTCACAGACAACGGATGCAGAAGGCCGGCCAGGTCTCTGCTTACAGGCAGCTGCCCCGGGAGGGAGGCCCGAGGCAGTCATCTGTAAGGGCTCAGAGGTTTGTTGCCGGCGTCCTCCTCTGTTATGCAAAACTAGGTTTGCTTACAATGTCCCCAGTCCCTTTAAAGGCAGGCGGCAGGAGGGAGGCCGCGGGGATGTCGACCCCAGCGGGGCTTCAAGGCCGCCAGCTAGCACAGCCGCTCCCCCAGGCCAAGTGGCCCGCAGGGGCCCCAAGCTGCGGGCGAGCGCGCAGGGCAGCCGAAGCCCGGAAGTGGGCTTCACTGACCGGTCTCGAGCGGCACACGCGTGCGGACGCCGGGGCCAGCGCTGCGGGGGCGGGCTGTGTGGGCATGGCCGCGGCCGGAGGCGGCCAGGGTCTGCGCCCGCCGGGAGGGAGCCAGGCCGGGGCCCCGCGGGGTCCTCGTCAGGCTGGAGCCACAGCTCCTCGAGGCGCCGCGCAGGCGGCCCGTCAGGAGAGGGCGAGGGAGCGGGCGATGGCGCGGCCGGCCAGCAGGTCACCCCCGCCCCTGCGAGGGCGGCGCGGGCTTGCACACGGGGCACTCCTGAAGACCGCGGGGCCACTCTCCGCTTCGGGCACGGACCCCGCCATCGGCCGCTGGAGGGGCAGGGCAGGGCAGGCCGGCGACAGCCCCCGCGGAAGCGCCATGCCACCAAGGCTGGGAAGGCGGCTGCTGCGCCCCGCCCTGGAGCGCGCCCGTGCTGCTCCTCGGCTTCGGCCCGCCGCGCCGTCCTGCACGCTCCCCGGAGACGCTTTCCTAGATTCTAATGATTCCACTTTAAAGGAATTTATTACGCTGCAAGTCCTGTTATTAATTCCAACAGTAATATAAAGAAGCAAGACACAACTTTAGAGGTGTTTTTAGTCACCTATGGAGTCTAGAAGCTTTCATCGCTAATGATCCTACAGAGGTAGACTAGAGCTACAGAATTTCCTGAATTAGAAAACATTCACATGAAAAAGGAAATATGAAAGCGATATATGTTGGGTATAGGTTCTAAACTGACTAACCATGATATCATAGCATATAACACCACAAAACTGTTCCTTTGTTCCTTCCTGCCTTCAAATATTTAATAAAGGATTATTATGCACCCAGCCCTATGCTAGGAACTTCTGATATAATGGTCATAATAAACAGCCTTGGTTGCTGTTCTCATGGAGCTTACTCTAGGGGAGGAGAGAAACAAATCAATCATTGCCAAAAAACCAGAAAGAAACGGGTAACTGAAAATCGGGACCAGTGCTCTGAAGAAAATTATTCTGTAGGCAATGGAGGTTTTTAAGTGGCACAGCAGCATGTTGGGATCTGCATTTTAGGACAAGGAAAAAATCTTGTAGCTCCATGCAATTACAGTGTAGAGAGGTATCTGACGCAGCAGGACCAAATTACTACATAGAAATACAATGTTAACATTCTTCTAATTCTTAGGAAAGGTGCCAAGGAATTTTCAGTGATTATAAATCCAAGGCCGGTTTTATTGCTGACGGCCTGAAAGCACTTTGGTCCAACCATAGCCGAGGGCCTCGGTTCAGCACATACTAACTCCAGACACTGCTGAGTTAACATCAGAGCCCTTTCCTTTCCAGTCTTCCTTCCATGGCCCTGCCAAGACTTCAGAGTCCAGACCATCAGTATCACAGTCAGTACAGCTGTCCACTTACTTCAAAAGAGGAGACTCTGCTCACCTGATTATCTAGTTTCAGCTGGCGAAGCTTCATGGTCTCATCTTCAAAGGCACTGTTTTTAAAAAAATGAAAAGAAAGCATGTAAAGAGAAAATCCTTTTAAACCACGTCAACTTCATCTTTTGGTGTATGTACTCCTGTGGGCTATTTGGAACCAATTAATTCCACCTTCGGAAAAGAATCAGTTTCTAGACGCTATCCCCACTGACTGCAGGCGGACTTTCCACCCTCAACGCCACAATTATTCCGCAGAGGACCTGAGGAGACTGAGACACCCAAAGGATAAGGAAAAGATATAGAAAACAGACTCCATGCATGCAGGGGTTTTTGTTCTTTAAAACCATATATTGAGTGCTTATTCCGGTCACAGTGCTAAGTATTCCACATGCATTATTTTATTTACTTCTCAAAACAACCCTATGAATTAAGTACTATTATTTTCTACACTTTGAAGATGAAGAAACAGACTTTGAAAGCTGTGCATAAGATTAAACAGCAGAAACAGACGTTAATCCTGGTCTCTTCAAGTCTAAATTCCACTTAAAAATCAAACGTATTTTACTGCTTTTTTGGATCTGGTTTAGGAGAGGGAGAATTAGACCATATCCAGCATCTTACTCTAGCCCACTGACTTCCCTAAGGTCTACCAAGTCATTTAACTTCTCTTCAGGTTTGCCAGTAATAAAACATTATGCCAATCATCAAAGGAGACTCTAAGTGTAGACGAACAGACGGGATTTAATAGCACTAGAAGACAGATTTGTTTGATGGAATAAAACAACAACAAAAAAAATGGAATCAAATTACTGTCTTCAATTGATAAAACAAACCCTTTCGAATTTTTTTTTCTTTTAAAAGATTGGCACCTGATGGGGCCAGCCCGGTGGCGCAGCGGTTAAGTTTGCACGTTCCACTTTGGTGGCCTGGGGTTGGCCAGTTTGGATCCTGGGTGTGGACATGGCACCGCCTAGCAAGCCATGCTGTGGCAGGCGTCCCACGTATAAAGTAGAGGAAGATAGGTACAGATGTTAGCTCTGGACCAGTCTTCCTCAGCAAAAAGAGGAGGATTGGCAGCAGATGTTAGCTCAGGGCTAATCTTCCTCAAAAAAAAAAAAAAAAGATTGGCACCTAAAAAAGGATAAAGGGGCACATATGTTATGGCGATGGATAAATATTGGACTACTGGGGGTAAGCACATGAAGTGTATTCAGGAATTGATAAACAATAATGTACACCTGAAATTACACAATGTTATAAACCATTATCAAATCAAATTACTTGAAAAATAAATAAATAAAGATTGGCACCTGAGCTAACATCTGTTGCCAATCCCTTTTTTTTCCCCCTTCTTCTTCTCCCCAAAGCCCCCTAGTACATAGTTGTATATTCTAGTTGTGACTGCCTCCGGCTCTGCTATGTGGGATGCCGCCTCAGCATGGCCTGATAAGCGGTGCCATGTCCGTGCCCAGGAACTGAACTGGCGAAACCCTGGGCCGCCAAAGCAGAGTGCGAGAACTTAACCACTCGGCCACAGGGCCGGCCCCTGAACTATTTTTTTTTTCACTCTGTGAAGCCTTTTCTATTTTTCACAATTTCCTAATCTAAGATTTTATTTTGTGACTCAGCTTTCTTGGAACGGGTAAAGTATGAAAGAAGGCAGAAATGGTTCTCAGTTATTTATATTATAAATTTTTACTTGGAGCTTACTGTCAGAAAAAAATGCAAATACAAGGTCCCACTGAAGAAGACAAAGCCCATGGCTACAAAGGGAAGCCCAGCTCTGCCTGCATTTGGGGTAAATACACCAAAGCATCTGTCCATAGTTTAATGGTTGACTACTGCATTCCTACATTTTACAAGGTTTTATGCATTTTAATAATACATAGCAACTTGGAATTTGCATACCATCTCCAAGATCCTTCCTGCCTACTAACCTATAAGCAAATTTAACAACCCCTTAGATATTCTCTGACAGTCGCCTCTATTAATTCTCTTACAACCTTTACGTTAAAACAAAGCAAAAACAACTTCCAGCCAGGCCTGTGTGGCCCTACATGTCTCCTCGATGTGTTCATGTTTTACTTGTTCTTAATCCTCATTCACATAGTTTTAAATCCTAGCTTTATGTATACATTGCTAGAATATTATTAGTATTCAGTGGATATTAGTATAAATTTGAAAAAGTTCTACATAAAATGACAAAAACATTAGGAACATTATATAGGAAAGTCTAAGTGTAAAAAAATTCACTGTCATGGACTAGCATTTTCAACAGCTACTGTTATGAATCTGCTTATCCTCCAACTCACTCTCCCCTAATCACTAAACGAGAATTACAAAACCCTCTAGCCATGGAAAAAAAATCACACTACCCACCCAGCACCCCCACCAACGCCAAAACCTCCTCAATAAGGCTAAATTCTGATACACAACTAAAGGCTTCAAACGTTTCTCTTAAGGCCTCTAACAGGAAAGAAAACAGGTGTGTCTTCAATGCCCCATCTTGACACGGCTTAATTGCTTTCATCAAGCCTGGGCAAGCTGAACAGACATTTTAAATAAACAGGGTATAATCAACGCATTTTGACCTCAACAGAGAGGCACTAAAGAGACACTATATAATCATAACATTTAGATACCTCCTATACATCAAAAGCTACACTTTCTCTGAGCTCTGGTTTTAAATTACAACTCAACAGAAATAATAAAAATATTTTATAAACTTACCTTAAATCTGAACTAGAATTTCCAGTCTAAACTGGAATACGATTTTACTAAATTTGCATTTTTTTCCTTTAATACTCTCTTTCCTTCATTTCAAACTCAGTTGTTGAATACAAGCCTAACCAAGCCTGGTTAGTAAATCTATACGAAACAGAAAAAATTCCTACAGAGTAAAAGAAATGCAATTACTGTTTTCCTCCCTTTTTTCTCATAGGAAATTTCCTGTTTACTTGGTACAAACAGGGAAAACCCTAAACATACATCTTGGAGAAACAAAGATCTGTCGCTCCTGTGGCTCAGTTTAACACCCACAGAACACCATGCTCTTGAACTACTTTCCAGCTACCTTCCAGCCAAAGTCTAAACTGAAGATGCACATAAAGCTTTACCACTGCAGGAGACACACAAGGATTTTTCTGAGAATGTGTCCCAACTACCCATCTTTGTTTACAGACACCAAAAAGTTTCCAATTCCTCTATCACTTATTCACCTAACAAATATTTGGCAAAAGTCTGCTAAAAGACGTGTCTCCTCATCTACTCCTATATTCATACTTTTAAGAATCACAAGATAAACTGAAAACAAATGAATAATACAACAGAATGTTATACATCAATGAAAATGAATGAACTTCACCCTACTACAAATCCATGAATTGACTGTAAACACAATGTTAAACAAAAGAGGAAACAGACAAAACAATACATTTATTAAGCTTCTTTTTGTATAAAGTTCAAAAACATGATAAACTAGATTGCATACAGAATACACACATAGGACAAAATTATAATAAAAAAAATGAATATCTCAAAAGTCAGAGCAGACTCATACATCTATGGCCAATCGATTTTTGACAAGGGTGCCAAGATCATTCAATGAGGAAAGAAGAGTCTCTTCAACAAGTGGTGCCTGACAACTAGACATCCACAGGCAAAAGAATGAAGTAGGACCTCTGTTTCACACCACTTACAAAAAATTAATTCAAAATGGATCAAAGACCTAAATGTAAGAGCTAAAACTATAAAACTCTTAGAAGAAAACACAAGAATAAATCTTCATAACATTGGATTTGGCAATTGATTCCTAGATATGACACCAAAAGCATGAGCAACAAAAGATAAATTAGACTCCGTAAAATTAAAAACTTTTGTCATCTAAGGACATTATCAAGAAAATGAAAAGATAGCCCACGGAATGTGAGAAAACATTTGCAAATCATATACCTGATAAGGGTCTAGTGTTCGGAATATAGAAAGAACTCTTGCGGCTCAACAACCAAAAGACAAGCAACCAATTGTCTTAAATGTGCAAAAGATCTGAACAGACATTTCTCGATAGTAGATACACAAATGGCCAATAAGCACATGAAAAGATTCTGGACACCATTAGTCATCAGGGAAATGTAAATCAAAACCACAATGAGGGGCCGGCCCTGTGGCCGAGTGGTTAAGTTTGCGCGCTCTGCTTCCCCGATCCCGCATTTCACTGGTTCAGATCCTGGGCGCAGACATGGCACCGCTGATTAGGCCACGCTGAGGCGGCGTCCCACATGCCACAACTGGAAGGACCCATAGCTAAAATGTACAACTATGTGCCGGGGGGGTTTGGGGAGAAGAAGCAGGGAAAGAAAAAAAGAAGAAGAAGAAAATTGGCAACAGTTGTTAGCTCAGGTACCAATCTGAAAAAAAAAAACCCAAAACACAATGAGATACCACTTCATACGCACTAGGATGGCTATTAATAAAAAAGACGTAATAACAAGTATTGGTGAGGATATAGAGAAACCAGAATCCTCATATACGGCTGGTGAGAAGGTGAAATGGTGCAGACATTTCGAAAACAGTCTGGTAGTTTTTCAAATGATTAAACATAAAGTTACCATACGACCCAGAATTCCACTCCTAAGTATATATCCAAGAGAAATGAAATGAAAAAATATACACTCACAGAAAAACTTGTACACATTTTTTTCTTTATAGCATTTCTTCAACAGAAAGAATTTTTGAAATAGTATATGTGTTATAAGAAGACTGCTGGTGCCAAACCCTTTTTTTTTTTTGCTGAGGAAGGTTAGTCCTGAGCTAACATCTAAGCCAGTCTTCCTCTATTTTATACGTGGCTCACTGCCACAGCATGGGGTGCACTGATGATATCTGACTATGAACTGCACATTACATGACTATTACATGAATGTGAAATGTCGCACATGTGATAACAGTATTGTGGTCATGTAGGAGCATGCCTTTGTGAGTAGGAATGGGGCAGAAATAACGAGGGAATGGGAACAGGTAAGAAGTATGGAGGAGCCACACTTCTCTGAGCATCCAT